AAACCCGTGTCCCCTGCATTGGCAGGCGGACTCTCAACCACTGCGCCACCAGGGAAGCCCCAATGTTAATTCTTTTATCGATATTTTTTTTTTTGCCACAATAAACAAATGACTAAATACTAATGATTATGTACTAAAACATAACATAGAATGTTGTGGCTGTGTTTTTGCTTTTCTCAGTGTATCTTTTAGAAAGCAAGAGGCTATTTAAAGAAAAGTATATTGTTTGAAAATATTTTATACTTGAAATAAAATGCTGTTTTACCAGAAGTTTCCAAAAGGAAAATAAAGAAAATTGTATTCTGCTTTTTTTTTTTTTTTTTAACACTATCAGTCTATTCTAACACACGCAAGTAGCAACTTTCAATTTCTGGCTCCATCTACGTTATGCTGCAAAGGACATTTTCCTGTCCACCATTTCACCTTGAGCAAGGGGTGTCTCATTTATAGATTGCTCTGGATTCAATCCATTTTGCTTGCATTTTGAAGTAAAAAGAAAAAAAATGGTTAAAAAATGCTCCGTCTTGTTATGACTGGCCAGCTGTAATATACTTTACAAATTTGAACCTGCAATAGGTGGTGTGCTTTCAAGTTATTGCTTAAATTGTCTCAGGCTACTGGTCAAGGTCATATTATTTAATTTTCCTACGTTTATCATCTCGACACATTTTATATTTAATTTTTTGTGGAGAATGATTTGTCTTTACCCCGAGCTGTGTTTGTGCTAGGCCATAAAATCAGGTGATGACCCCGTGGAATCCGTGGGAACCTTAAAGAGACTACAGAAACTGGTTTGGACCAAGAAAGCCAGGGTGCCGAGTCTGAATGAGATGAAACCTACATCAATAAATCTCCGTACGTAAGAACTCAATGAGCTGATAAAAACGTTTTGAGGAAGAATTGGGGTAGCATATATTAATGAAGGACATTTTGATAAGGCCTTAAAGTAATCATTAAACGTTGAGTTTTTGGGGGTTTTTTTGCCAAGTTATTTGTGAAACAAGTATCCTTACACTGTTCCTGAATTTCAACCATGACATTCCCTTTCCCCTTTCCTTCAGAACCAGACTCAGAGGAAGAGTAAGAGAAAGCTATGGGTAAAGCTCAACAAGAAAATAAGGGTCAACATTGTCCACTGTTCCCATTCCTTGGCCATAGAAAACAGTATGATTCAGTTTTGATGTGAGTGCAGCTAATTGGCAGATCGTGACATGCAACTTTGATTTTCATTTATTTACAAGAATGTGCTATTAGTCATAGTCTTTTGTTTATACCAGCTAAGCATTTGAACTTAAATAGATTCGACCATATGGCACAATTTACTAAGGGTAATATATGTTTCCATTTTCTATAAATGTTTTATATACTAACAGAAATTTCATCAGACCCTACACTACATGCAAATATAGGTCTCACTAATCAACTTTATAGGAGCAAAGATGTACATTTTCTTTTGTTTTCTCAGTCTTGTTCTTACTTTTCCAAAATATTTCACCATGAGACATACCACATGCATAAATCTCTTTGCAGATTGATAGTAAAATAGAGAATTTGAGGATACCAAAAGAATTTCCAAAAATCTCTACTGAGATTTCATTCTTTTAGGTAAGACAAAGATTTGATGTGCTTCTTTATGATATTCTCTTATACACATGACCTCAAAAATTAAAAATATTTAAGAATAGAAACATACCATATCATGCTTATAACGTGGAGAATTTTTTTTAATTTGTATTTTTTCTACAGTGTCTTTCAGTACAATATTTGCATGTGGCTTCCAGTCATTCCAGTCAAACTGGCTTTAATCATTATATATGCCTTCAAAAAATTTTAGGTAAATCTGTTTTTACAAAACCAGTCACTTAATATATCAAAGATTTACCCTTTAAAGAAATACTATTGTAAAACTATTTTGTGAAATTATATGACTTCCTGGTTTAGCCTGTGATGTCCATTCATTTCTATTATATAAAGGGAATTATAGTAGTCATAATTTCTACATGTGAAAAATTATTAGACAGACTTACCTCTTATTTTTCTTTACCATTCAGAAGATGAAGATGAAACATTGATTTCCTGTATGAAATTAGCCAAATCCCAAGAAAAGAGAGTTTATAATGTTAGTGCAAGGAGGAAGGAAGAAATGGAGATTAGATTGGATTCTATTTCTGCCTCACTGGTTAGACCCAGTACTTCAACTGGATGCAGCTTGGCCAAAATATTATCCCACAGTGGAGGTGAAGTTCAGATGTGGAACAGCTGGAAGCCTTTCCCAGAAAACCCGCTGTGGACATATGTTGATTTCCAAATTGACCGGGTTGGACCCTGGGACAACTGTTTCCACTGCACTCACCACCCACATCTCAAGTCTTCTTGTACAGATATGGATCTCCCACACTCATGGGTAAGTTTGTAAACTACGGAAATGTATCATCTTATCTGGTTGTTTGTACTAGCTGGAAAGAAACAGATAACAAACGCACTATTCAGTCAAATTTATGAGTCTCTGGAAAGTTACCAGAGCTAGAGCTGTCTTTCCAAGAAGCAATGCAGTTCTTGTGACTTCTGCTATCATGTTACTATTGGACATGTTCCTTGTGTTTGAATAAACTACTGCATAATATTTTCCAGGGACTTCTTTTTAACTAAAGGAAGACAATGGATGTTGATTCAGATCAAGAAGATGTGCGTTGAATTGTCTAAATTATTGCTGTTGTCTTGCAGTTTCACTGACAAATAATAGCTAATTTAAATGAGCATTTTCTTTGTGCATGCTATTCTTCTAAGCACTTCACATGTATCATTTCATTTAAATCTCACAACAACCCTATAATGTAGGAAGTGTTATTCTACTATTAATTCCTTCCTATTTTACAACTGAGAAAAATGAGGTACAAAAAAGTAACAGGTACAACGTCACAGATCTAATAAGAAATGGAGCCAAGATCTAGAAACTAGACTAGGGATCCTGATTTAAGCTAATACAGTATAGTGTTTTCCATATACTGAGCTAGGTCCTAAGGCTATATGGTGCAAGAGAAAGAGTATGGATTTGGAGTTAGAAAAATCTGGGCTTTAATCCAACCTCTGCTATTTGTTTAGCTTGGGCAAATTATTGAAACTTTTTAGTTTCAATTTTCTCAATAGTAAAATGGAAATAGTAATATTAAACTCATGAGGTAATTGAGAAACTAAAATTAAATAACACAAATATTCTAAGATTTAAAAGTATCTAATTTTTCCAACTTGAACATAAGTTACTTATCTGCCTGGTATATTATTGTTTCCTTTAAAAACATTACCCTATCCCTTCAGACTCAGATCAAATACTTTGTCCTCTAGAAAGCCTTCCTGGGTCATGCCAGACAGGAAGTTCCTTCCTTTGAACTTCTAGATCACTTAAGGGCGTTATTCTTTCATTGTATAGGCAACAAATATATATTGGTGTCACTGTGTGCCAGTACAATATTAGACTGGGGACGCAGAGCTAAACAATACATGCACTGCTCCTGTCTTCATGGAGCTTACCACACTCCACACTGTAGTGGGATGAGTTGGAAGTTAGTTTATTTGCTATAAGTAATTCATCTTTGTATCCACCATAGTCTCTAGAATATTATAGGCACTCAATAAATATTTGAGTAACATTTGATGACTAAATGAATGGAGTTTTAGAAACCAATGGACTTTGTTACCATAGATATAGATAAAACTTTTCTTCTCATTCTTCTAACTGTCCCTATATTAATGCAATCGTACATAAACTCAGTTATTATGTGTGTGTGAGTGTTTGTGAATGTGTGTATTGATTTTGGTATATATACATAGTAATGTTTTTCTTTTTTATTTAGGTAGTTTTGCCTATTTTAGTACATAGCTAAATGATTAAGTAAGGAGTTTTTAATCTGCAGAAGGTCAAACATATCTGCAGAGTGCTCAGAATTTCAGATGATAGTGTTCAGCATTTGTGAACAGGAAAACCTCAGTGGATTTGGAGAGAAGGTTCAAGAACATGTTAGAGTTAAATTGGTTTGGTAAACTTAATGAGACCCCTTGCACTCAGGGATTTGAGACATAGAGTGAAAGAAGTTGGATGAGTGCAAATTATTATTTTTATATTCTACACATATATGCTATAATAATAGCAAGTAAAAAATCTAGTTTCATTTTAGCATAGCTGGTTTTTTTTTCTGTAGCAATTACAAGGCTATTATTTGGGTTATACTTTAACTGTCATTCTAGGCAAGTTACAGAAGGCAGATAGTGTTGAGGGAAAAGTCTTCTCAAATGAGTGTTACTTACTATCAATGACAGGTAGTCAGCAGTGACATTTTTGCAATTTTATAGGGTAGAAGTGTGACCAGATTTTTTTCTAAATGTACCTACAGATACAGATACATTGGAGCTGGGCCTAAACCCCACATTTTTGGGGAAATAAAACCAATCCATGAATTAGTTTCTCGATGTCAGAAATTTCAGCAATAGTGGATTGCAGTGTTTTTGATCCCATCATTAAATCAGAGTTTTGAGGTGGCCTGAAGGTGACTTGTCTTCCAGACAGTCCTTATTCACCCAGGCACACCTCCCTGCTAGCCCACTTCAGGCTCACACTCTCAGAGCTGGTTCTTATGGAGCTGGGTGTAATGCCAATGCTGACATCACTAGCACAGTGAGATTGGGCAAACTCCTTACCCTCTTTAATGCGCAAATTCCAATTCTGTATTGGTTTCAGACCCTACTCATCTCTTTTCCTCCAAGTGATTCTTTGCATACTGAAAATACCCATTTGTAAAACAAGGTTATCGAGGTCTGCTGTGCAAAGGCTGTTGGGAAGATTAAATGAAATCGCGTCAGGACTCAGTTGATAGTAGGTAATATTTATACCTAAATCAAAGGGTCAAGAGGCTTGTACTGGGCTTGGAAAGGAGCAACATTTTACTCACTTGAGATACCATAAACAAATTGAATCCAGACAGGGAAATGTATTATTTGTGAAGGACTCTTCACAGAAGTCAACAAGGGGAGAATGAGACACACATAGATGTTTAATATGCAGTTTAGTTGTGTGTAAGGTCTATGGGATCTGAGGAGTGGGGGAAGAGATATGTGATTACAGACTTGATATAAATTTAGAAAGGCAAAAGATGAGATTTATGAAAGTGTAAATCCACAAGAGAGATGTGAAAGGAAAAACTACTTAGGGATGCCGATCTTTTCTAACATCCAAGATGAGTGGTGTTGAGAATTTCAGATGCATCTTAAGAAAGGTAATAGTGGAGGTAACCAAACATAATATTTGTAGCCAAGTGTTTACAATCAACTTACAAGGAGAGTGATTGAAGGGTATTTATGAAATCCTGCGTGCTGAGAACTTGAAACATCATAACAAAAAAGAGGGAAGTGAGCCATAGACTTAGTTGGGAATAAGGGCAAGAAAGAATAAAGTTTGTGTGTTACAAAGGAGATGAGGTCTTCCTTTAAGGTGATATTAAAAGAGTAGCTAATATATTTTTCAAAATCTCGGATACTTTTTTCTGAATAAATAGTTTATCAGATTAAGAAATGGAAGTAATCTTGACATGAAAAAGGAGAATAAATATCCCTTTTTCCCTTCAAATGTCTAAAATGTTCCAGAATCTATTTTATAAAAATAGTGTGATATATTTAAAAATGATAGTAACAAAATCTCTTTCAGAAAGAAGGAAAGTTAAAGGCCTGAAAGAACAAAACAGAGACCCATGTATAGAAGAATTCAAATGCAGCATAGATAGAAAAATTATAATAATGAGAAACCAAATTACATAAAAGTCAAAGAAAAATGAATGAAGTTTATATACCAAATCTCAAGGTGAGAAAATAAACAAAGCTCTACTTAAAGCATCTTAAAATGCACAAGAAGAGGATGATAAGAGTGGAGCTGAAAGGTCTTATTGGAGTATTATGTGAACCCATCAAAAGTGCACCAAAAGAGAAAGTGTGGAGAATGGAAGATTTTTTACAGAACTGTTTCAGTGAGAGGAACAGGATGTGTGCTAAAGTTAACCAAGAAATAAAGGAACAAAGATTTTACAGTTAACCTTTCCATTCAAATGGGGAGTAGTGGATGCTCTAATTATTGACATAGAAAAATGTTCTTGGGTCCTACAGCCCCACTGCTAAGTGGTTTCAGAGCTTTATACTGTCCCCCCAAAACTACTGATCTATGGGAGAGAGGTGACAAAACCAGGATAAGCTATTTGTGCCTTTCTTCTACTTTGTCTTTCTATTCTCAACCTTGGCAATCTCTCCCAGTATCTCTGACCCTAGTCTAGTCTACTTCCTTCAATCAACATGCCATGTCATTACCAGATTAATTTACTTGACTAATCTACTTGATAAATGCTACCTGAATAGTGATTCTGAAGCTCAGAATAACTTTTAAGCATCTCCCCAACACCTACAGGTTCAAAAGCAAACTCATTCACCTATTCTGCCTTCTAACTAGATTCTCACCAGTCTCTTTCACACACACACTCTGCTATAAGCACAGTGATACCATCCTTTTGCCAAACACAATGATTTGTTTCCCATCTTCATAGCTTTGTTTGTACTGTTTTCTCATTTAGATCTTCCTTTCGTCTCTACCTGTTTGATGAATAGTATGGAAGGTTAAAAATACATATGGATGAGTAAGAATTCATGCGGTACACTTTGAAGAAAAAAATATGTGAAAAGGAATGAGGATTGAGAGGACCAGTAAAAAGAGAGTAAGGAGGCACGTGGTTTAGAAAAAAGGCAAAATTAATTTCATAGGCTCTATTATCATTTTCTTTGTACATTAGTGATGTTAGATTCCTGACAGAAGTCTCTGTGACCCACTGATGGGCACATTTTTACTGGCCCAGTGAATAACACATACCAAGAAGACTGCTCCCATATCCACGCAGAGGAAGACAGGCTATGAACCAACCATCAATGCCTGATTCCTCATAGTTTAATGTCCTTGTATTCAACTCTAACAGCAAAAGCTATTTGTTAGAACAGCTTTAAACTTGTATCTGCTTACCTTGGAATTATGGTGGTATGGAAAGAGAACAGGTTTTAATGAATGGATCCGGACAACCTGTGAAAAGGAAGGCAGAGTAAATGATAATCTGGACTGAGAAATGCAGAAGGAAAAAAAGGAAAATATGATAGAAAATACCAAAAGATATTTATACTTATTACAATCTGCACTGAATTTAATTAACTTGAGAATCAAGATTCTAAAAATAATTTAAGGTCCTAAATGAACAAGAACAAATAGTTAATTATGAGTATTTTACATGACAAATTTTTAATTATAGCCAATAATATTTGATGGAAGGAGAATTAACATTTACCCAAGAGAAGAATTTGAAAAATGGGAGATGCTGCAACAGCTTA